TTTATAATCTCAGTTCTTTTTCTGCATTTCTGTTGACAATTCTGCTCTGTAATTTGTGAAGGGAAAAGCAAATATCAGGGCATACTAAAAACCTTGTTGGTCTCAGAGTAGTGTACTTCCATGTGTTCTGTTGATATGCCCTGGCTGCCTAGGGACTTATTTTTCGAACACTTTCTCCTGTTAAAGGGCAGACAACAGAAAGACCAACAAATCAACTGTTTATATGAAACTACACAGTATAGTGGAACAAGAAATTGCATGTTACATCCTGTCATGGGGTGGTATCTTCCAAAGTGGACCATCCTTTTCTTTTTTGTTGCTCTAGGTCTTGATGGTGAGAACTATAGCTTGTGACAGCAGTTTCACTTGCGTGGAGCAAAGAGATCATTCCTTTCACACAGAGGATTTGTTTGTTACTTGACCTCTTCTTTGCTACCATATTCACCCTGTTTATTGCACAGAACGTTGTCTCTTTTCAGTTGGGCTTCTTTTACTCTTTCTTAATAGATCTAGATTTGTTCCAATTATTAATATTATTCATAAGCCTGTATTCATAAGCATATTGTAAAAATGCTTAAAGCTGTGTTCACAAGAGACAGGGGGAGGAGTGGGGCTCTTCCTTCTCCCAGGAGAGCGAAAGTTTGCTCATGCCCCGTGAGGGAATGACAGATGATTTCTCTCTCAGGTTATACATGCTCTAAATCCTTGCCACTGTTTTTCTCCAGCAATGAGGAGACAGATGCTACTGTAACAGCACAGAACTTGCGCAAATCCCTTACAAAGACCTTTATTACTGCTATGAGTAAAACCAAGTGACTTGCTTAACCTTTCATACTATTTTAAGATGAGCTTACGTTTCTGAAGGATGTATTTGATTGCCTTTCATGGTTTTGGATAGTTTTCTGTTGATTTTTTTTCCTTTTCTTTTAGTGTGATATGGGAGGATGAAGGTGTGATAAAATGCCTGTTTCTGTGAGCTGTTGTGTTGGTATTTGTTAACCTGACTTTTTTGTGATGTGCCCAATTCCCTTTCTAGCAGTTTCTAGTAGCCATGGGAATAAAGACAGCAGAAATCACACTTTTCACACACAATTTCTCTCCTGAAAAAACCCCAAAACTGGTGGAAGGGATAGACAAATGATTTTGTGAACAAATCTTTGATTTGACCTCAGGGTAAATGCGATCACAGAGTCACACAGAATAATGAGGTTGGAAGAGACCTCTAAGATCATCGAGTCCAACCTATGCCCTAGCACCTCAACTAGATTATAGGACCAAGTGCCATGTCCAGTCTTTTATAAAACATATCCAGAGATGGTGATTCTACCACCTCCCTGGGAAGAGCATTCCAGTACTTTATTATTCTTTCAGTGAAATTTTTTTTTCCTAATATCCAACCTATACCTTCCCTGATGTAGCTTGAGACTGTGTCCTCTGGTTCTGTTAGTTGCTGCCCGGTGGAAGAGACTGACCCCCACCTGTCTACAGCTTCCCTTCAGGAAGTTGTAGAGAGCAATAAGGTCACCTCTAAGCCTCCTCTTCTCCAGGCTAAACAACCCCAGTTCCTTCAAACGTTCCTCACAGGGCTTGTGTTCCAAGCCCCTCACCAGCCTTGTTGCCCTCCTCTGGACATGCGCAAGCATCTCAACGTCCTTCCCAAACTGAGGGGACAGAACTGGACACAGCACTCAAGATGCAGTCTCACCAGTGCCATGTACAGGGGAAGAATGATCTCCCTGCTCCTGCTGTCCACACTATTCCTAATGCAGGCCAGGATGCTGTTCGCCTTCTTGGCCACCAAGGCACACTGCTAGCTCATGTTCAACTGGCTGTCGACCATCACCCCCAGGTTCTTTTCCGCCTGAACACTGTCCAGCCACACTGTCCCCAGCTTGTAATGTTTTAGGGGATTTTTGTGGCCAAAATGTAGAACTCAGCACTTAGACTTATTAAACTTCATGCTGTTGGACTCTGCCCATCCATCCAACTGATCTCAGTCTCTCTGTAGGGCCATCCTTCCTTCCAAGAGATCAACAAAAGCTCCTGGCTTAGTGTTGTCTGCAAATTTACTAACGAAGGACTCAATGCCCTAATCCATGTCGTCTATAAAAATATTAACTAGTACTGGTCCCAGTACAGACCCCTGAGGGACACCACTGGTGACTGGCTGCCAGCTGGATGCAGCACCATCCACCATCATTCTCTGGGCCCAGCCATCCAGCTAGTTCCCAACCCAGCAAAGAGTGCTCCTGTCCAAGCTGTGGGCTGCCAGCTTCTCCAGGAATATGCTGTGGGACACAGTATCAAAGGCCTTGCTGAAGGCACAGTATCCACAGCCTTTCCTGCATCCACCAGGCGGGTTACCTGGTCACAGAAGGAGACCAGGTTGGTCAGACATGACCTACCCTTCATAAACCCATGCTGACTGGGTCTGATACCCTGGCCATCCTGTAAGTGCTGTGTGATAGCACTCAATATGAACTGCTCCATTATCTTATCTGGTACTGAGGTCAGGCTGACTGGCCTGTAATTACCAGGATCCTCCCTCCTACCTTTTTTGTAAACGGGTGTCACATTGGCCAGTTTCCAATCATCTGGAACCTCTCCAGTGAGCCACGACTCTTGATAAATGATGGAGAGCGGCTTCACAAGCTCATCTGCCAGGTCCCTCATCACCCTAGGATGGATCCCATCTGGTCCCATTGATTTATAAATATCCAAGTGTCCCAGCAGTTCTCTGACTGCCTCTTCTTGGATAACAAGAGGGCCATTCTGCTCCCTGGCACCACCTACCAACCCCTGAGGACAGTTGTCTTGAGGACAAGCTGTCTTACCACTAAAGACTGAGGCGAAGAAGGCATTAAGCATTTCCGCCTTTTCCTCGTCATTAATTACTAGGTTGCCTGCCTCATCCAATAAGGAACAGAGGTTGGTTTTACCCTTCCTTTTACCATTAATATATTTGTAAAAACATTTTTTTATTATTTTTAACAGAAGTTGCCAAGTTAAGTTCAAACTGAGCTTTGGCCTCCCTAATTTTTTTTTCTACATGCCCTAGCAGCTTCCTTAAACACTTCCTGAGAAATCAGTCCCTCCTTTAAAAGATGATACATCTTTTTTTTATTTCTAAGTTCCTTCAAAACCTCATTGCTCATCCAGACTGGACGTTTGCTTCGTCGACTCCTCTTTTGGCACGCAGGGACAGTCTGTTCCTGTGCCCTCAAGATCTCTGCTTTGAAGCACATCCATCTCTCCTGGACTCCTTTGTTTTCAAGGGCTGTTTCCCAAGGAACTCTCTGAATAAATCTCTTAAATAAGCTGAAGTCTGCCCTCCGGAAGTCCAGTGTAGAGATCTTATTGATATTCCTCCTTATTTCACCAGTTATCGAGAATTCTATAATTTCATAATCACTGTGCTCCAAGCGGCCTCCAACCTCCACATCACCCACCAGTCCATCTCTATTTGTGAACAACAGGTTCCCTAACATAGTCCCTCCCCTGGTGGCCTCTCCCACCAGTTGTGACAAAAAGTTATCCACCACACACTCTAAAACTCTCTAGACTGCCATTTTTCTGCTGTATTAAGTTCCCAGCAGCTGTCTGGTACGTTGAAGTCACCTACCAGAACAAGGGCTGATGATCCTGAAACATTGTTCAGTTGCTTATAGAATAAGTTGCCCACCTCTTCATCCTGGTTGGGTGGTCGATAGCAGACTCCCAGTAGGATATCAGCCTTGTTGGACTTCCCCTTAATTCTTACCCATAGGGACTCAACTTCATAGTCATTAGTTTCAATACCTATGATGTCCAAAACCTCCCTAATGTAAAGGGCCACCCCTCCACCTCTTCTCCCTTTTCTGTCTCTTCTGAAGAGCTTGTAGCCATCCAGCGCAGTGCTCCAACTATGTGAGTCATCTCACCATGTTTCTGTGATGGCGACCACATCATAGTTCTGCTGTTGCACTATGGCTTCCAGCTCTTCCTGTTTGTTACCCAATCTCATCACTGCCATCCGCAGTATCAGCAGTGGGTAATAATCAGAGGGCTGAATCAGCCCAGGAAGTCTCTCAGTGATATTTCATACCCGGGCCCCAGGGAGGCAGCAGACTTCTCTGTGGGATGGGTCCAGTTGACATATGGGGACCTCTGTTCCCCTCAGAAGGGAATCACCCACTACGATTACCCTTCTTTTCTTCTTGATGTTAGAGGTGGTGATCTGTCTTACAGATGAGTCATAATTGGGAGGCTCACTGGGGAGATAATTTTCTTCTAAATCATCTGACTGGCTCTCTAGATCCAGTGCCTCATACCTATTCTGAAGTGGCACCTGGGTAGGGGTCAGGGGGCGGGAGGGATTTTTGTTATTACCTCCCTGAGCAGGAATGCATTTCCACTCCCCTTCCTCTACCAGGTGCCCCTCTATTGCCTGAGAGTGAGAGGCATATGAGTCCTCTGACTCTTGGTGGGCCTCCCTTAAAGATGTAAGGGCTGAACTCCACCAATCTATTTCCCTTTCACTATCCCTGATACTTCTTAATCTTTCAACTTCCTCCCTAAGCTCGGCCACCAACAAAAGCAGATTGTTCACCTGTTCACATCGTAGGCAGGCCTCCTCCACAACACCCCCTGAAACCACTGATAAGCTCAAACACTCCAACAGGAATGGGTCTGTACAGAAACATCCTTTTTGGAGGGCTCCACTTGGTCACATACACTTGTACCAACCACAGATTTTGACCAGGTTAAAACCCAAAATCAAGCAGAAAGCCCAAAATCAAGCAACCAATAAAAACGCCTCAAACAACACACAGCACACCTAACTAGCAAGAAAACCTGTAACCCTACCTGCTTGCCCTGCCTGTGTGAACTGCTGTCACCATGCTCCTGTTGGCCACACTCCAGGCTGCTGTGCTCCCTGGAGGCCTCTTATAACGAGTCACTCAGGAATGAAGGAAGCTCCGCCTCCTGCTCCTGAATGGCTCACAATGCAAGCAACTCACCTGGAAGCTGCCCCTCCTGCTCCTGAATGGCTCACAATATGAAGTCTTGGGAGAGGAAGTTTGTTTTTATTTCACCAGTTTGATGTAACCTTGTTTGCAAGAATTGCTTTTACATCCAGAGAGCTGCAGTTTCAACTCAGATGTCTTTTGGGGGTCTGAGCATCTTCTACAGTTGTCATTGAAACTCTTGAGGTGTTTTTAATGGAGATTTCACCATGGTCCTCTTCTAGAGCTTTTCTCAGGAACTGCAATGTGATGAGGATCAGTTAGTAGCACTGAATAATTGTTTTGCAGAGAGAAGGCCAATTGATTAAGAGTTTCATTGACACCATAAATCTATGTGAGTACTGACCTCTTGTTAGATATCAGTGACTGTTGAAAACTACTGATGTTTTAGATTGTAATCTAAAGGCAAAACCAGGTAAAAGATTTGTCTCTTATACTGTTTCTTCTTAAGCATACGTATTTATGCACGTGCTTTTTTATTGTTTATAAGAAAGAGTACATGCTGGACAGTCATATCATGTTTTGTTTTATGGTTTTGTTTTGAGAGATTTTTGTTGTTGTGATGTTTGTTTTGTTTTTGTGTGTGTGTGTGTATGTAAGGATACGTAATTGTCCGTCTTCTGACATAGAAGAAGAACCACAGATGAATACAGTTCTGGAATGAGGAATTATCATATATTGTCACCAAAACTAGCTAAGTATTGACATACAAAGTTTTAAAACACTGTGTATTTTATTACTCACTAAGACTGGGAGAAATATCTGTTCTGGTAAGTACTTGAGTATGTGAGACTTGAGTACTCGAGTATGTCTCACATGAGTATGTGAGACAAGCAAAGAAGGCAATGATTGATTGTGTGAGGATGAAAGCTGGGGAATGGAAACATGCATGCTGAGAGAAAGAGATGTAGATAAATACCTTTTCACTGTGGGTGCCAGCTGGAACAGATGCCTCAAGCATGCATTCAGCCTTAACCTAAGGGGGTGTGTGTATACATTTCTCCTCCCTACATAATCAACACTTGTAGAAGAAAGTATGTACCTATGTGAAAAAGGCAAGTACATACCTGATGTAGAGTTAAGTGAAAAGTTGTTTCAATAGCTGAGTTCTTGCTCTTATAAAATCAGGGAAATTGTGGTCATCTTGAAAAATATGTAGAAGCTTTGAGGAACCTGTAGAGAAAAACATAAGCTCTCCTACGTTTTGCTAAGTGGAACATTTGGAACTTTCTGCTCCCCTATGAGAAGTGCATCTGATACACTGTACAGGGATTTCAAAGTTTAATTTAGCTTAACTCTTGGCTGCAAACAACTGCTGATAAATTTAGTTGGGGGATTAGGGAAGACTAATAGCTCCTTAAAAGGAGCCTGAAGATGAGACAGCAAAACAAAAACATCTGCTAGACTCTCCCTTAGAATGGTAGCACACCATATACTCATATTTTAGAGAAATAAATAGGTAGGTTTTGGGCAAGAAGTGATTTTTGTAGATATAGACACTTGGAGAAAGAAAGCCAAACGTGTGTTTAAAGGAGTTGTTCCCTTTCTGAAGTGAAAGAGGGGTATCTTGACTGGAATCAGTAGTAAATAGCAAACACCCTTCTCCTGTGGTTCTACATAGTTTGCTAGACCTTTAAAAATAGCCATTGTTAACTTCTTTTTCCTATTAGGTTTTTTGTTGTTGGTTATTTTGTAATAGATTGTCATATTTGTATACTCTTTGGATTTCAGCATTAATTCAAGTGTACATTCTTAAGCAAGGCTACCACATCTTCTTCAATTTCTTTGTGGTTAGTAAAGTAGTATTAAGCAGTATTTCATATGTCCAGGCAATATGGAGAGACAAACCAAATCAGTACAGGAAAACTCATTCAGGTATTTATTTGGAGAATAGACTTATTGGAAATTACTAAAAGTTTCTCTTCCTAGATGCCTCTTTCTCACTTGTTTTATACTGTATCAAATTTTCTAGATCCAACTGTAAATGGGGCCTTTTATAAGTATTGTACTTAGATGTCTCATAGCAAGAAACAATTCTTATGCCAAAGGCAGTGTGATCTTGCACTTGGATAAGTTAACGATAAAGTCTTCTTTATCCTTAACTTTTAGACTATGAGCAGTCCTCTGAAGCTAGATTTGGAACTTAAATGGGAATGAAGTAGCTATTTAATGCCTTTTTTTCCTGCCTTCTTCACATAGCCTTCTGCTATCCCACAGTTACATTTTTAATTTTTCTATTGCCCAAGGGCCTCAGAGAGAACTTACATGAGAAAAGGTTAAAAAGAAAAAAGTATTTGAATAATTATTATTCAAACGAAGAGGGAGTCATCATTTGATAACATTTCAGTCTGTTGAAAAAGAAATGTCCTTTCATAGAGTGTTTAATTATCTTGTGGGTTTAGCAGCTGGATGGCTATTATTTCAGCAAAGATTTTATTGAGATTTGCAGAAGGATTATATGTAAAAGCAGAGTGTCTGTTGTTAGCCTAGCTAAATCTGATAGACTTTGAAAGCATAAGACAGTCATCTGTAAGAATGTGAACTGTATTGCCAAGTCAAACAAGTGTGTTTTGTTTTCAAATTTTTTTTGTGTTTTGCAACAACAATTGAAAAGAAAGTATTCAGATTAGAAATACAGGTCTGCTCTGATGAATCAGAATATGGATTCAAGAGGAGATAAACTAACAATTTTTCTAGTATAAAATTTCTGTTATGTTCATAAACTCTTTATTTTCGTGATGATGTAGGTGGACTGGTAAGCCTCATGTCTTGCGTTCAAAATATGTGAACAGGAACTTCTCTGTAACTGAGAGCAAAATGTCACTGACTTTTCAAGTTATATCTCTAAAATATCAGTTGGAATTATGTAGTTATGTGGTGAAAGTGTTATTTTCTGTGATTCTTTTTCTCTGAATCAGGTCTATTTATAAAACTCTGCAGCCTTTCTGAGTGCTCACTAGGTTAACAGCCTAAAGAGCCCAATTTCAAGTTGTGTAAATGTTTCTCCATCCTTTGTTTCCCTGTGTCAGCGTGCCAGGCATGGTGAATGTTATAACTGTTTTATTTCTTATACTAAGACTCTTGATGTCTAAAGGCCACAGCATTAGCAAGAATAAAGAGACTGACGGTAATGGGAGACCAACTACTAAGGCAAGAGAAAACCCAAAGTAATCTATTAGTTACTAGTACGATTAGTCCAGGTCTAGTGCTTGTGTGGTGCATAATTTTATTCTCTCTATTCATTTTCATGGCAGACATATTTCCCTCCTCCCCCTTTTTGGAGCACTGAATACTTGAAGTGTCAACCAACATTTGAGGAAGGCTGCTCAAAGGTACTTTATGCATCTCTCAAGCTCTCTTGATTATTTTACAAGTATCATTAATGCAGACCAGGTTTTCCCTGGGATTACCAGGTCAGTTTATAGGTTTCTTGGTCATTCCAAAGCTTCCCCACACACTTGATAGACTTGATGACAAGAGAGCTGACAAAGCAGGTGTAGGCCCAAAGCCAGATAATTAGCTGCTATTTAGGGGAGGTGCCTTGAGGAATTATTTTCCATCTCAGAGGTTCAAGGCTAGAAGGACAAAGGTTGGGATCAATAAAGGAAATAAAAGGTTATGTGAAGAGAAAAGTAGGCTGAGGAGGAAGATGGGCTTGGGGAGGGATGAAAAATTTCACCATTTCCAGGGGAAAATGGTGAGGCGGGAAAAGTTGGTGATCAAAGAGAAAAGAATTTGCAGATGAATGAGATAGGAAGTATAACCAAGGCATAGAGATCAGTTGATTTCTTCTTTCTGCCAATCCAATCTGAGAATATGCATCAATACATTTTACTATGATGTTATTAAAGGTAATGATTTTAGAAGTGTTGATTTTAGGAGAACATGGGTTTCATCTCATTCCTTTTATTTTTTTTAATTAAAAAAATTAATTTTATAGCACTGTATCATAGACTGTCTGAAGTGTTCATGGTTGCCAAATGCCTGAGAGATTTTAATTTAGGTCAAGCAGATTGTCTTGGCTGACCAGTAACTCTGATGGAGGTTTTGGTTTTCTGAACATAGCATCTGGTATCTGAACATAGAATAAGTAAGTTTAGAAGGGGCCACCAGATGTCATATATGCAATGAATAGCTCAAAGATGACCTATTATAAAGGATAAGTTAAACTTGTCTCATCAAAATTTGCACATTTCCCACAATAGAGATCCCACAGTCTTTCTAGGCCTTTGTTCCAGTGTCATGTTGGATTATTTTTTCTTATCTCCACTGAGATTTTTTTGCTTGTGCAACTCTGTCTCCCGTCCTTTCATTGTCCACCTAGGAGAAGGATCTAGCTGTGTCTGCTCTTTAATTTCACTTTGTTAAGTTGGAGTAACAATTATATCTCCCTCCCAGTCTTTTCCTTTTTAAGCTAAATTAAGTCATTTACTTCAACCTTACCTTGAATATCATGTGCTCCAGCCTTATTTGTCCTTGGTTGAGCTCTATCAGACTGTCACTATTTATTTTGTTTTTGAGGGTCAAAAACTAGCAATGGTATTCCAGATACAGTCTTCCAGTATTCCAGATACAGCCTGATAAGCATTTACTAGACAAGAAAAATAATTACTCTTGACCTACTGGCTACTGTTTTGCTACTGCAAAAAAAAACACCAGCAAACCAAAGTGGAAGTATAGAGAGAGAAATAAAGGCTAAACAACAAAGATCTATGAAAGAAGAGGAAAAGCAAGGATTTGAGCAAAGCTTGGTCAGCAAAATTGCAAATGTTGTGGATCTGAGACTGTAGTTGTGCTAGGCAGCCATGCTGTCAGACAGTGGAAAAAAAGGCTCTGATCTATTACTTTTTATAATGCAGAGGTCTTGGCAAGGAATATTACTACCTCAGGGCATCTACAGACTTTCAGGTACCAACTGAGTACAGTCCAGGCAGTTCTCCAGAGGGTAATGTCAGGATTCGTCAGTTTTCTCTCCCTATCTCCTAATGTAAATCATATTGGCATATCTAAGAGATATAATTTATAGCCAGCCTTCTGGGTGGTCAGCTTCACGTCTCATAAATTAGATAGTCAGACACATGTGGGTCAAGTTTGGAAATGCACTGCATTTCTTTAGAGAAAGGATAGATTCTTCCCAATTCTTCCTTACATTTGATTGTTTCCACACATTTTTACTTTTTACCTATTTTTTTTTTTACCTATTTTTACTTTTTATGTTACTCTTTTTGCCAGCTGTGCATTGTTCCTATTTTTTCTCTCATTCTGTCCTTTCTCTTCAGTGGAGCATGTTAGTGATTGTAGTAAATCAGTATATGAAGTTATCTGACTTTTATGTGTAATCTTTTGTTTATCCCACTTCCCAGATGTAGAATAAAGGACTGTGTTCCTCTTCCCAGCCTTCCCTCCCTTGTTCTCTCTCCGGAGGCACATATTTCACAATGAGATGACCTGCAGAGAAAGTTCAAAGAAAGTTCTCTGGATGTCAAAGATCATGATGCTCTCTTGCAGGTGAACAGCAGAAGGAGATGTCCCAGCTCTTTTCAAATTCTAAAGAAAGATTTAAATTAGTCTCAGATGGGCCTGTGGATTATCATAGCACTCACTGTACAGCAGGGCCTGAGATCCTTCAGTTTTTTTTTCAGACTAAGTTTGTGCTTGATACTTCTGGTCAAAATAATTATCAGGGAAGAGGCATTAGTGAGGATGAAGCTGTACCATCCCAAGAAATCTTTAGGCAGTTCAGATTATTTTGGTCTGACATAAAGTGTTTACAGTATAAGAAGTTACTGATACAATTCTGTTATGAAAGTTAGGTTTTTTTTGTTTTGTTTTGTTTTTTTTTAGTCCTACAGTCCCCTCACTGTCTGTTTTTGATACAGTCAAGAGAAAGAAGATTCAAGTGGAGAGAATAGAGTGGTGTGGGGTGTTCTCCTTCTGGCAATATCAGCACCAAGGAAGCAGTAAGTAGTATTGAAAATGGATTAGTTCAATACTGTGGAAAGTGATGATTCCACTAAAAGGCACTGGAGGCAAAGAGGGGAGTCTGTTTTTTCTGGTTAGTTAATGGGAATACATCTAGTTCAATCCCCTGCTGAGCACATCAGCCCATGTTTTGAAGGTTACTTGACCCTTCTCATTTTAGTAGAATGTATTACAGTACAGATTAACTCTGTGAGATGCA